ACTGCAGGCCTCGAGGCAGGTAAGGTTTACAGGTCCGAATCCGACTGTGTGGCTCCAACCCCGGCCATTGACATCCGAAACAGGGTGTACATTGTCTTGTGCACGGCCTCCAGCCGCACCCCTGCCTTCTTCAGGACCTTTGGCACTTTCAAGGCCTGTGTGGGCCGGCTTACGCCGGCAACGGTTTGTCACGGGTTTCCCACCGAAGGGGAAGCCAGGGTCTACTGCGCTGGCGCAGGTCTTGCCTTTCCAGACACCTCCCAGCCATGAACATGGACGAGTTGATCTTCGCTTCGTCGGGGGTCCTGGTGCCCTATGTTGCTCAGGCCCCGCTGACAGGAGTCCCCGGAGAGCGTTCCGCACCCGTTCTTTGTATCCCTGTGCTCCAGAGGGCCGGGGGATTTCTCGCTTGCCTGCCGGTCGGATCGGTGCCTCCTTCGCTACTAGAGCAGGGTTTCGACGATGCCGAGCGGTCGCTGCATGGGCCCTCCACTGTACTAGAGGTTCCCGCGGTGGAGGAGACGGAGGAAGGAGAAGAGGAGCCTTCTCCGGAAGGCCTGTCTGTACTGATTGTCGATGTGAGCGACCAGGCCGCTTCCTTCCTGTCAATCTTCGACCCGGGATCCTTTCCTTCTGTGGTCGCCTTCGACCCCTCGCTTCCGCAGCGCTTCCCACAGGCGGACCAGCTTTTGGTTCTGGTGCGGGCCTGGCTCCGCACGCTCGGAGCTCTACAGTGCCGCCGAGAATGTTCCTGTCGCAGACGAGGGCGCCCCCGAGCCCGAGGACGAGGGGGCCCGCCGCCCCAAGCAAGCGGTTCCAAAGCCCAAGCGTGTGACCACGGCCCACCTGGCCACTCAGATGGCGCTTTTGCTGGATGTTGTGCCAAAGCTAACGGGCCAGTTGGAGACGTTGGGGGCTCGGCAGAAAGCGCTAGAGGAGAAGGTGGCCTTAGGTCCTTCCCCCTCACCTCAGCAGGCGCCTCCCCACCAACTTCCCTTCCAGATTCCCAAAGGGGCCCCTGTGCCCGGGAACGCAGCTCAGGGTCTTGCCTCGATGGTGGGGCCTCCCCCGAGGACAGGCCAGGTCAGGAATCAAGGTCCGAAGGTGGCCCAGCCGTTGCAGCCTCCCACCGCCCCGAGGAGCAGACGAGGATCCCCTGGGTCCAGTCGAGCAACAAGGCCTGCAGGAGGCCATTGCAAGCCAGAGCTCTGCGTTGACCCTCCTGGTCAACCACCTTATCAGCCAAGCGGCGGACTCAGCCGGAGATTTTGGTTCGGGCGCCAGTGGGTCGGCGGCCCTCTCCTCCCGAGGCACTGCAAAGCGCGAGCGCCTTCAGGCCGAGCTCGCGGAGCACACCGGCAACTTCATGGTGGCAGTTGCTCAAGCCGGTCACAGGAGGATGTTCCCTGCCTCGGCTCAGCCAAGGAGCCTCGACGATCTTCGGTGCTATCCCCCTCCCTTTCGTTTCCAAGACGGTACGGAGGGTATGGGCAAGCCAGGGAACTTGGCCTCCTGGCTTTCATGACGGCCCAGGTCTCGGACCTGCTTCTGTCAGGGCAGGTGGAAGGAGCCTTAGATGGCCTGGCGCTGATGCAAGTCGCCCTCGAGCAGGCGGCCCAGGATGGCAACAAGTGGGAGATTGCCTACGCCCTCTCCTTGTTCCCGGACCCCCCTTCGCAGGTTTTCCAAAACCGGTCGATGCCGCACAACTCCAGGCTCCGAGCATGGGCTCCTCTTTGTCCGGCGTCGTGGGCGACCACGACGCTTGCATATCTGAAGGAGGCGGACACTATCATGGCTCGCCGAGCAGAAGCTACTGCAGCTCCTCGGGCTCCTGCCAATCCCGCCGAGGAGGCTCCAAAGAGGGCGCCGAGGAAGCCACGGTTCCCAAGGAAGCCAAAGGCCGAGGAATGATCGCCCCAGGGCCCAGGATCACTATCCTTCTTGAGCTGTTGCTCTTTGGTTTTAGGCCTCCCCCGGGTTTAGAGGGTACCCTAGTCCCGAGCATCCCCGTGCCTCTGCCAGCCGCCAGGCCTTCTGTGCATCAGCTGGGCCCTCGGGCCTCCCCTCTTCAGTGTTCTCGCCTCCAGGCTCCTGCGAGTACCCTAAAAAAGTGGTCCCAGGTTTCTGAGCCTCCCCGAGGCCACGCCAGGACTCAGGGCCATTTTTTAGCGTACATGGCCAAAACACACACACACAAGGGTCTTCAGACTCTAGGCCGCCGACGGCCAGCACCACGAGCACTACGACCACGTGCCAGTTGAATTCAGCTACCTGTCGTCAGGTTTTTTGTGAGACCAGCGCCGCCCCTGACCACCTTCCTGAGCCCCTAGGCCCTAAGACGAAAAGTGCTAGGTCCCCTAGGGTTGCTCCCCGGGCCCACTTTGATAGGACCGGTCCGCAGTCAGGGTGCATGACTTTCAAGCGTTGGTCTCTTTCTCTCGGTTTCCGAGTTCTTCGTGCGAGGACCCCCTTCGCGGCTTTCCTCTCTTCTCTTTTGCACCAGCAACCGTCGAGCTCTCGAGCTCCTGCCCGCTCCCTCTTTCCGCTGCCTTGGCCCTTTTACGGTGTCTTTGACGATTGCTCGCACTTGGGGCCTCGAGCCCGTGCCCGTGTGGGGGTCCGTCGCCTCACGTGCGTCACCGTTGCCGCCCTCAACTACTTGCACTCAGGTGGCACCGCAGTCGTCCGCAGCGCAATGCTAAAGGTGCCCAATGTGGCACAGGCCCGTGCCCTTTCCTACATTGGCTCCCTTATCAGGAGTGGAAGTTCCGCTGAGCCTTTCGAAATCGTATCGGCTACGCGCAGAACTGCTGAATTAGTGGCCCGCCTCGGCGAGGTCTCTGAGCATGTCACCCGCCTCGCTCCCACGTGTGATCCCTACGGCCCGGCCTTCCCACAGATCAGAATGACGGAGGAGGAGAAAACTAAGGCCCTGCACCCTTACACGGACCTGAACCCAGCTCGCCTCAAGCTCAGTGGCTCGGGTCAGTGGGATCCCTCCCCCTTCCTGGAGGACTCACTATACCTTGCCTTTCGTGAGCCGCAAAGCCTGCTGCTTTCTCACATCGTCCCCCCAGGTCCAGGCGATGTCCCTCTGCCGTGTACTGACGAGGAGCGTACTTTTCAGTTATGCAAGATCTGGGACGCGCAGGGGCTACTTCGGCTGGCCTCGTCTGGCCCTCCCGAAGATCGACCCTATGAGGCCGTTAAGATTTTCAATGCAGCCAAAGACAGCACCACCGACAGGCAGATCGCCGATCGCAGGGGACGGAATTGGTGTGAGGGTAGGATAAGAGGCCCCTCGTGCATGCTTCCCTCGGGCAGCTCTCTCGTGTGTTGGCACATCCGCCCCCACCTTGAAACCGCCTCCATCAACGCTACTGACCGGAAAGATTTTTATCATCAGCTTGCCGTTCCTAGGCAGAGGGCTCTCCGATCGGTGCTCCTCCCCCCTCTTCCGGTTTCCAAGCTCAGGGATACTCGAGCCTTTCGGGCCTTCCTTGAAGAGGGCGGTCCCTCTTCTGCTACTCGCCTCTTCCCCTGCTTTGGGGCGGTGCTGCAGGGTGATGCCCTGGGGGTAGAATTTGCCTGCTCCAGTCACGCTGCTTTGCTGGAACAGCATGGTCTGCTTCAGTCAGACTCAAGGATCTTCGGGCTTCGCCCCTTCCCACCAGGAGCCGGCCAGCATAAACTCATTGAGGGCCTGGTCATAGACGACTACTTCGCCATTTCCCGACGGCCTCTGGGGCCCACTGATGCGACTCCTGCGGCCGTGTCGGCCCTTTGCCAGGCGAAGCAGGTCTATCAGTCCTACGGGATTCTGGGGTCTGACCCCAAGGACATCGTAAACTCCGAGTGCGCGGTCGTCGCTGGTGCCGAGCTCGACTGCTCTCCAATGACCCGGTCTTTGAACCTTGCCTTGGTCGGTCCTCCTAAGAAGAAGAGGCTAGCCATCTCCGCCATTGGACTTGAAATCTGCAGGCTAGGCGCTACTACAGATCATCTGCACCTCTCCCTTTTGGGGGCCCTGACATCCTCCTTCCTCTTTCGCCGGCCGCTGATGTCACTCTTGGGCCAGTCTTTTGGTTTTGTTGACGCTGCCTCCATCAGCCCTGCAGCCTCCAAAGTGCTCCCTCTCCCGAGGAAGGTCGCTGACGAGATCACCCTCGCTTCCATCCTCAGCCTCCTGTGTGTGAGTGACATCGCCGCTCCTTGGTCCTCCCAGGTCTTCGCCACTGACTCGTCAGACACGGCTGGTGCTGTCGTGGCCGCGCCCTGCCCTTCTGAGGTCACCGAGGCGGTCTGGACATCCACTTATAACCTCACCGCGTCGGCTCGCATGCTTTCTAGGGAGCGCGCCGCTCTGAGGAGGGTCGACCCAGGTTTCGAAGAAGTCCCAGAAGAGCCTCTTGAAAAGCGCACCGAGCAGGTAAAGCGCCCCCTGGCCCTTCGGTTCAACATCCTTTTCCTAGGCCCTGGTCTCGAGGGCTTGCGTGCGGCTGTCATCTCCCAAGGCCTCTCGGTCGGCCCCTCCTTGCATACTCAGGCGTCACCGGAATACGACTTACTGTCCTTCTCGGTCTGGGGCTGGGTTGCCCACCTCCTTGAGGAAGGCCTGATCGATGCCTTGGTCGTCCGGCCCCCGTCCTCTACCTTTGCTTTGGCAGTCCGGCCGCGCCTCAGGACCCGAGCTGAGCCCCAAGGAATCGAGCCCCAACCCCTCAGGGTAAGACGTGAGAACACCATTGTTGGCCGACTCCTGGGCCTGGGGTTTCTCAGCCTTCGGTGCCGCATCCCCGTCCTGGCGTGCGCTCC